TCTTTCCAACCCAATAATAATGATTGTGGTTATTATATTATGAGATTCATGAAGGATATTATTACTCATGATCAAATTTTTATTCCTGACAATATAAATAGTTTTATTTTCACTTTATATTGTTTATTAACTTTAATTATTGTCTAATACTTAATTTTTAGTGATTTTAATTGGCTATATAAATTATTGAGCAGTATTATGAAGATGCAAGTTACAAAACTACATTGACAACCAAGTAAATGAAGTCATTGAAGAGTGGTGTAGATATGTGTTTGAACAATTTTTTATATGAAGTGGGTAGCCACTTCTCTTCTATGATTTGGCTTTAGTTGTAGAATTAGAATTAGATTCATTTTGTTTACAACTGTTGTCAATATATATAGTGGTAATATAAGTTTGTTAATTTAATTAGCTATGTTGTTTTGAAAATTTTATTATATGTATTTGATCTCTGAATTTTGCTAGCAATTAAGAAATTTCTATGTAAGTTCTATAAATGTGGTTTTGGAAACACTATATAATACTAATTATTTTTTTAAGATGAAAAGCACTTTTGTAGTGCTTTCCTGAGAAAGGGCTATAGCAAGTAGTACTTCTTGTAGTGCTTTCTGAAGGAAGCACTGTAGGAGAGAGCAACACTCCTGTAGTGCTTCGCAAGAAAGTGCTACAGGAGGGCCTCAAAAGGTCTGTCTACTATAGCGTTTTGAAAGCACTACAACTTATGCCTGCATTTTTCCGTAGCAGATGTTAATGCAACGTTTCGAAAATGCCACCAAAAAAAAAAAAGCCGCTACAGTTAGCATTTTTTGTAGTAGTATTTGTTAATGTAAAAATAACAATTAAAATAAGAAATATAATTTTAATTTTAATTTTTGCATTTGACTAATCAAAATGAAAGGTGATTAGGCTTAAAAAATTTTAATTAAAATATAGTAAGTATATTTTATGACTTTTTCAATAACACATCAAATTCCTTTATTTTTATAATTTTTTATTTTAGCATTTTTCTTAAAATTATCACATTATACACATATAATATGTATAAAATAAAACTCATGACCTTTTTAGTCATTTCATATCTAAATTTATTTTTCAATAAACTATCCAAATAAGTTTTATCTTGTCAAACTGATTTTTTTTTTGTTTTAAACATAAATCACATTATTTTGATTGACTTTTATCCAAATTTATGATTTTAAAAGTTGGATAAGATAAAAGTTACTTTTCTCATTGCCGATCAAATACACTCTTAGCAGGCATGACCATTATACTCGAATTTATGTACGTTGTTAAATTTCATGATGTTAGATAAAAATCGTGTTCAGTAGGCCGCTAACTATCCGTTGTAGTCTAGATGGTTAGGATACTCGGCTCTCACCCGAGAGACCCGGGTTCGAGTCCCGGCAACGGAATACTTTTTAATTTGTTTTGGGCCTCTTTGAGAGTTTGGCAGCGGGGCCATAGTTACCGTGCTTATGTAAAACCCCGGAGAATGAGTCAGAGATTCCTCAATTATTGAATGACGCGGAACCCAGGGTCAAGGCTTCATTTTTTTAAGATATTTAATTAATTTCTTTGTAACCGCAACTCTCAAGTCTCAACCTTATTTTCTGTCCTCAGTGCTCCAATAAAATTCCATTTTTTTCTTTTGTTAAAGGAATTGAACTTGGTATAATAAGTATAAAAATTTAAAAATCTGGAAGTTTAGTAAGGAGGGACTTTATTATTTAAACTGGGGTTAAGATCAGTAGACATTTTTATCATAAAAAACTTTTTAAAAAAAGTTGCAATTTTACCCTTACGCTGGGTATTTCAAAAGTATTGGATATTCTGAAAACCATTTTGATGCTGGACGGGACGAAAAATAACAAGCAAATCATTCACCACAAATTAAACTTCTTTGAGGAAGTTCTGATTTCTTTTCTTTTTTATTAGAGTAAAGGTGAAATTTTTTAACATATTTTATTATTCTAAAAAATTCATTCATGCTTGTTAAATTCGCAGCCTAGCTCTATACAATTGGAAAGCCACAAAAAATTTTATTTTTTCTATATCTTCATATGCAACTTCTTCTTTTTTCCGTAGTTCAAGTTTCTTCTTTATCTTCAGTTTCTGGTGAGTTTTAGCTTGAAGCTCGATTCTTCCTCGGATTAATTAAGGTCCCTTTTCTTAATTAATTTATCCTTCAGTTTTTATTTCTAGTTTTTTTTTCTTCAAAATGATATATAAGAGTTTATTATCAGGTCATCATCAATTTTTTTCATATGTTGAGTTTCTTTTTAGTAAAGTTGTGGTTAACTTGTTTTTCAATAGAATAATTAAGTCATATAGTGTAACCCATCAGTCTCTTAAAAATATTAAACAGGAAAAATCCCACAAAGAGAACATCAAAATTATTAAATCTTAAATTATAAACTTTTATAAAAATATATAAATCTTAAATTATAAATTTTTATGAAAATATATTGTTATTTACAAGTGTGGTGTAGTCAAAACCTACTAAATTGTATAAAACAAGTTTAATTTAAGATTTATTAATTTTCAAGTTCTTTTCTTATTAACTATAGAGAGGCCCTACAAATTTATTCTTTAAAAGACAAACAATTTGACTTATAAATCATGTAATTCGACTTGTAAATATGAAAGCTTTGCTTTTATATAAATATATATATATATATATATATATGAATTCTTAAATTTGACTTGTAACGTAATTTAACTTGTAAAATGTAAGGTTGACATGTAAAAATGGAAGTTTTGAACCCTTTTGTATTTAACCCTGAGTAATTTTTTTTAAGTGTGATTAAGTACAACTAATGCATTTTAATTTATTTGGAAAAACTAAAATTTGATTTTATGTTTAGTTTGATATTATTTGGTTTTATTTATAATTAAGTCACTTCTAACATGCTTTATTAGAATTAAGAAAAACCTTAAACTTTATTAACTCTATTTTAAAATTTAATAGTTTTTCAATTTTATTCTTATTTAATATCATTGTCTCTATGCAAACAAAATTTACACAATAATAAATAAAAGGTAAGATTGTACATTTATATAAAAATTTTAATAATGTGACTTATAAATAGAACTAACAAAAATCTTCTTTTTCTACCTAATAAATGGGACCCAAAAACTGAAAAAGTATAGGGACTAGAGAGGGTGAGTGAGAGAGAATATGTGGAAACATATTATAATTAATGTAGAAACAATAATTAATTAGAGATTAAATTAGAAAAATGTATTCATTTTTTTTTAATGCAAAACTGAATACCCTTAACATAAGCTTCTGCCTCCTAAAACAGAAGTGGAGGGTGATCTAGAGGTTTTTTTTTTAAAAAAAATCTCTTTTAAGCTATGGGAGAGTTTTGCTAACTGATCTGCAATTACTGGAAGTGCCTCCTTATGAACATGAATGAATATCACCTGACAATTTCTATGTATTAGCATCGAAATTTCATCCATTAGATCTCTTAAAAAGTGATCACGGTATTACAACCTGTAGTGATTAGGTTGATAACCTCTAGTAATTGACAATCGGAATGAGTTCTGAGGCTAAATGGACTAATGACTACTAAGAACTCATCAACTTTACATGCTCTCCAGGTTGAATTTTATTTTCAACTTTTATTCTTTTTAAAAAAATTAACTTTTGATTAATTTTTTTAAAAAAATTATTTTAATACATACAAAACTTAAAATAAAAATAATCTCTTAATTATCAATTTTTTAAAAAATAATTTTTTTATTTAAAAATTATTAATTGAAAAATTTACCTCTAGAATATTGGAATTATATTTGAAAAAGGTAAATAACCGGTTCCATTGACAGTTACATTGAATTTTACAAATTACATCGAATTTATTTAGTTTAGTGAATAGTAAGCTTTGAATTTGCTGGCCCGTTGGGGTTAAGTGAGAGAATCAGTTTTGGTGCTCATCTTTTTAATGAGCACTATAAGCTCATTAAGTCTAAATCATTAATATTTCATTTAAATGGTTCAGATTTGATTTTTTTTTTTTATCTAAAATCTAAAATAGTGATGATCTCTTAACTATCATTTTTTCAAAAAAAGTTTTATTTAAAAATAATTAATTAAATATTTTAAATATGAACAGTTCAAATTAAATATAAACGGTTCAGATCTCATGAGCTTATGGTACTCATCTCAAACTGATTGCATGTAACTTGTAGCTTTAAATTGAGTGACTTCTCAGTTCACCCCATATATTGAGCTGCTGCTGCTGCTGCTTCTTCTTCACTGAGCTGAATCTTTCTCACCTCTGCAACATTTCTCACATCATCCATGGAAGCTCCACCAACAGTGACCTGCCACGTGGTGGCTATGCCCTACCCAGGTCGAGGCCATGTCAACCCCATATCCTTAACTTCTGTGACTTGCTTCTTTCCAACGATCCAGACATCCCCGTCACCGTTGTTCTCGCTGAAGAATGGCTCGGCTTAATCGGATCCGAAGCCCAGACCCATAATCTCCGGTTCTGCGCTATACCCAATGTTATCCCCTGCGAGAAGGATGGCGCCGCCCACTTCCTTAGCTTCTTCGAAGCTATCATGACAGAGATGGAAGCGCCGTTTGAGGAGCTTCTCCGTCGGCTTCAGCCATCGCCTACACTCATCATATACGACACTTTTCTCTCCTCCGTCGCCATTCTATGTTGTTTTACTTTTATGTCCAGTCAACTCTAGCTTTATGTCATCTCTTACTTTACAATTTAATGTATGTTTTTGAAAATACATTTCCTTGTTTTTGACAAAACAATCAAGTTTAGAATTACAATCAGCTCTTTCTCAACACACATTTCTATCATAACTTAAGAATGTGTTTCTCGAAACACTATAAATCATCCCTGTTATACACACAAACACGCATTTGTTTAAGCTTGACTAAGACTAAAATGAAAAGCAAAATCTTCTGAGGTAGGAAAGTGAGAATAAGAGACAAATATCAATGATATAATAACTATCTGTAATCAGTAATATATCAAACGCTGAATCATTTATTCAGTCCTTCATGCATAAGGCATGAATGTACAAATCTGCCTTCAAAACTTAAATCTCACACACACACACACTCACACACACACATCACAGAAAATCTTTGTGTAGCACCTTCTTAATCATGAAAGAACACCCTCCTTGCCACCTAGGAGTATTGTGAAGATCCACATCATACAGGTCTTCTTCTTCCTCACTCTTCTTTGAGTATATCGCCGGCGAAGATGGCGCTGAAAAATAAGCCGGCGATGACAATGAGAACGAAGAAGAAGAAGTGGATGATGATGATGAAGGATGTGAAGGAAGAGGAGGCTGTTTTCTGGTGGCACGCCTAACGAACCAAGTTTGCAGAATATTATTAGGGTTAGAAGAGGAGCTTTTCTTATTGGGCTTATTGCTTTTCTTGGACTTATTAGAAGTTTTGTTGTAGTAGTAGTAGGAAGGAGGAGGAGTGAGAGGAGGAAGAGAAGGATCTCTAGATTTGAACTTAGGAGTACCTGGTTCAGATTCCCACTCAAAAGGCACAGAAGCAGCTTTGCCTCCATGATAATAAGCTTCCATAATGGATATGTTAGACAATTCCCTCCTCACTAATTTCTCAGGGCAAATCATTAAGGAAGATGAAGAAGAAGGTCTTGAGGGACTTGTCATGTTTTCTTCTATGCTAATTTGCTAGCAACCTCTAGATCTTCACAGTGTAAAGCTGAGATATATTTATATTAGCAAGAAGAAATGTTCAAAGGGTTTTGGTAAATGGAACGACTCGATCGGTTTCAGCACCTACTAATGGACAATATTAGGTTGTCGGTGAATATGAATAATATATTTTTTAAAACTTGGTATTTCACTTTCTATTGGAGCTTTTGGATCGTTGAAATAAGGGAAACGAGGTCAACGTAAGCACACGTTAGTGGGACAATGTTTTGATCGTTATTTAATGTATATTTAGTTGTTAGAGATAGTAATATAATTAGTTTCTAGACACAATGCAAGTGGGCATTTTTTATTTATATAATATTCAATTTAATGATGATATAAGGAATGTTCATAATATTAGTGACATATATGCATACAAGTAGAGATTGGGAATGGGTCATATATATTATTCGACTTGATTCCTTTTCTCCGGACTCAATTAACTAATTTAGAGAGATTAAAAAAATTACTAAATTATTTAATTATAGCATATGTTACATGAGCTTTCTAAAATAATTATGTAAATTATTAGATTAGATATCAATTTATAAGTGAGGCAAATTAGTTTTAAAAAAATGATAAATATAAATAGGTTAAAGTAATTTATTAATTTTCTTAATTTCTTTAATTGATCATTTGGGTCTTATATTAAAGATAGAAGGTAATAAATATGTACCGGTCTCTCACCGAAAAAATAAATAAATAAATAAATATGTACCGGTCAACATTAGGCTTCTCCGTCATACTGAAAAGCATAAAGGTCGAGTTGGGTAAATTTTTCAACGACACATGTTTAGGAAAGTATGGCTTTTTTACTGAACATATCGTGTACACATGTGTGTGTGTGTGTGTGTGTGTGTGTCTTTAAATAGATGAGAGAGAGTGCGTGCGAACACATGTTTTTGTTATTTTAATTTTAAATTTAAATCTAGAAAGGATGCTTTTAGTTTAATCTACTGAAGATTAAATTTGTACGCACAGAAAGATCTTTAGAGAAACTGTAATAATGAACATTGAAACACCGCTCTTTGACCAATCATTGAAGTTATAGTGACACAACCAGACCGATTGAAATGGATATGACTTAAGTTAGTAACAAATTTATGGATATATATATTTATATATAGAAGAAAGCCTTAAACATGTGAAGAGATATTCAATTTTTTTGGGCGAAAAGCAAATATTCAAATGTAAATAATTCCCAAGCGGGTGAGTAATCAAAAGGTTGTAAAGCAAATAAAGATGCAATAATATAACAGAAGAATTGGTTATTATTAAGAGATGTCAAAAAGAAGAAGAAAAACAAAAGACACAATTGAGATTAAAACTGAATTCAATCTGTCTTTTTGACTCAAATAACATCTTTAGAAAAATTAGCTCTATTTAAAAGTCAGTTTTGGTAATGCCTGAATTTTATTTCATAGTATTAACTACATATATGGAAGAAGAAAATTCAACGAAGACATAATTAGAAAATGTAATATAGATTCAAGGGTAATTAAGTATTATCCAGAAATCTAAAATATTTTTTCAAAAGTACTCAATATAAATTCAAGTCTTTGATTTTTTTTTTTTCCAGCGATGGAATTTGTGACGCATTAAAATTTTGTCACTATTTTTTTATTTTTTGTAGTGAACGAATAAGGGATCAAAAGTGTCATTTAGAAGATACGAGGTGGATTGTTTGGTTCTTTTTTTTTTTGGTGAGAGAAGAGGCCTCAGGCCCAAAAAATCAGAAATTAAGAAATAGCAGCAGCCTCATCAAAATCGAAACTGAAATTGAACGCCTTACTTCCGCCACCGACAGCACCCATCTTGTCCTTCTCGACCAGCTCTTTCAGTTGCACGTGAGTTTCTTGCCATAGACACTCTTCCTCTTTTAAATCAAAACCCAATTTTGCAAGAGCATCGGCATAGTAGTTGGCCTCCCTAGCAATCCTCCTAATGCGAACATTCCATTCTTTCCCCATTAAAGTCAGAATGCGTCGAAGAGTTGCTGGGATGAAAATCGACTCTTCTTTCTTCCCTTTAATAGCTTGAACGAGAGTTTCAGAGTCCAATTCAACAATTACCTTTCGGAAGCCACAAAGCCAAGCAAGCTCTAACCCTTTTATCATTCCCCAGCTTTCTGCCTCTACCACACCACAAAACCCAATCTTTTTAGCAAAGCCACAAATCCACTCTCCTTTGTCGTTCCATAACAACCCTCCGCAACTAGCCATCCCTAGATTTCCACGGCAAGAACCATCAGTATTTACTGTAATCCAACCAACTTCAGGTGGAATCCACTTGCAAGGAGCACCACTCTTCTCCCCTGCACTTGGAACTCGATCTAGCACTCCCTTAGCTCCAGCAAACTCCTCTGTCGCTAGCCATATCTTATGAACGGTTGTTCTACAACACGGGGCGTTACCTCGGAAGACATGTTCATTCCTCTGCCTCCACAACTGCCAACAACCAGTGCCAAAAATAATACGAGTATTCCAAGGTAAATTTCTAATTCTTTGACTTGAAGAAAGATTATGTTCCAGCCAGCACTTTAAATTGTCTGTATAGAACCTATTTTGAATCTGGCCTGTTGGTATGATTTCCCTCCAAACCTCCTTAGCAACAGGGCAATCCCAGACTACATGAAGTCCTGATTCTAGCCTTCCACAAGTATCACAGAGGCCACTTGCCCCCCATCTTTGTAACCTGAGACTATTAGTATGTAGCCTATCATGGCTTAGTAACCAAAGAAAGCATCTCCCTCTTTCAGGCCCCTTCCATTTCCATACTAGATCCCAAAATTTCTCCTCATCTCCCATCCTATCTCCCCTTATGCTTCTATAACCATCTTTCACAGAATAAACCCCTTTCCCTTCCTTCCAAAGAACCACATCACGACCCTCCCTAAAAGGGGGATGAACAGCCTTAATTCTGCCCAAAATATCATCATTAATTAGAGATTTAAACTTATTCCAGTCCCAATTACTTTCTCTGTCCACCATATCAGACACTGACCATTCCAATCGATCATCTTGGATTTCTTCAGTACAATGATCCAGTATGATGGTCTCCTTATCCACCCAAGGTTCCAGCCAAAAAGACGTGCTCTTCCCATCCACCAGACCCTTCCAAGAAAAGGTATTAAGAATTTCCCATACTTCTCCTAAGTCCTTCCATAAACTCGAAGCAACTCTAGGCATTTGTAGGATTGAAGAGAGCTCTAACCCATTATTATACTTAAACTTCAACACATCGCCCCATAAGCCAGCCAACCCATTTCGAAGGCCCCAGGCTAACTTCAGTATGCAAGCTTCATTCATACTTCACAAGTTCAAGAACCCCAATCCTTCATTCTTATTTGGTCTCTGCAGGGTATCCCACCCTATTAGGTGAACCTTACAGACATCTCCCCCATGGCCCCATATGAAGTCTCTTTGAGCTCGTTCAATTTCCTCAAAGAGACCTTTAGGAAGTAGAGTGACCATCATAGGATATATAGGGATAGAACCTATGACAGATTTAGCTAGAGTAACCCTTCCAGCCATACTAAGGCAGTTTGCTTTCCATCAGCTTAATCTTCTTTTAACCTTCTCCAATACAAACCCAAAACTTTTTGCTTTACTCCTTTCATAGATTAAAGGAATACCAAGACATCTCCCTGGATCCCTTGTCTCAGTAAAACCTGACATACTCAACAATCTGCTTCTAACATTATACGAGACATTTCTTGAAAAGTAAATAATTGATTTACCAGAGTTAATTTTCTGCCCTGCAAGGGAGCAAAAAGTCTCCAGACAGTCTAAAGTAGCTCTCATTTGTTCCTCTGTTGCCCCCCCAAACAACAACAAATCATCAGCAAACATTAAATGAGTTATCTCAGGACCATCCCTACCTACTTTAAAAGCTTTCCAGAGTCCCTCACCTTTTGGTTCTTGAATTAAATGTGTCAACCTTTCCATAGCGAGTACAAAAATATAGGGAGAAAGAGGATCCCCATGTCTAATTCCTCTTGATGGTTTAAATTTTTCGGTTTTCTCCCCATTCCACACCACCTGCATATTAACTAAAGTAATGTATCTCATAATACGTTTCCTGAAATCTTCTATCCCCAATTCTCTAACCACCCCTTCTATACACGACCAACTTAGCCTATCGTAGGCTTTTTTCCAAATCAATCTTCATAGCAAAGAAACCTTCCTTACCTTTCATATGCTGCATAGAGTGAAATAATTCCTGAGCCACTACTATATTATCTTGAATGTGTCGACCAGGAACAAAACTCGCTTGATTCGGGGCTATCGCCTTATTCAACCAAGGTTTCATTTTGCGAACAATAATTTTTGTGATACATTTATAAGCCACATTGCACAAAGCGATAGGATGCAACTGTTTCAAGTGTTTAGGTCTCTCTACTTTAGGTATTAAGACTAACAAGGTACTATTTACTTCCTCCATGTTTGCCTCCCCCTTCCAAAGCCTTCTAACGTATCTACAAAATTCCTCCCCCACAATCTCCCACTTCTTTTGGAAAAAGACTGCTGGAAAGCCATCCTCACCAGGAGCTTTAAAAGCTCCAATAGAAAAAATAGCATATATGATTTCTTCATCATCTATCGGTCGTTCCATAGCCCTTAAATCAACTAGTGGAATCTCAGGGAACCCAGTGTTTAAATGGCTAACTCCCACCCTATCACCTTCTTTAGAAAAAAGGTTCAAATAGAAACTTCGAGCCATGCATTTTAACTTGGTCAAATCTTCAACCCATTCACCTTCATCATTCTGCAACATCACAATCTTATTCCTCCATCTTCTAGAGACAGTACGGGTGTGATAAAATTTGGTATTTCTATCCCCATCATTAATCCATTCTCCCCTAGATTTTTGGTACCAAAGAACTTCTTCTTGTAAGAGCACTTCCTCTAACTCCTTTTGTAACTTGTTTTCCAGCTCTACCAAGTTCCTCACTGGTCTATTATAACACATCAATTTTTTCTGAATTCCATCAATCCTCCCTAGCAATTCCTTTTTCCTCTTCTGTATGTGTAAGAAGACTTCCTGATTCCAAACTAACAACTTTTCTCTCATAAAAGAGAGCCTCCTTCTCAAGCTATCCTCCTTCCCCCAGTTCTCCTTTAGCATTTCCTCAAAATTTTCATGAAACAGCCATGCAGCTTCAAACCTGAAGGGTCTTAAAACCCTATCTCCCTTCCCAAAGTTTCTACAAAGTAACAGAGGATTATTATCGGAACAGCCCAACCTCACAAGGGTTTTAATGGCTGTATTGGAAAATAGATCATTCCACAAACTGCTACATAGTCCACGATCTAGTCTTTCAAAAACTCTTTCATATCCTGGTACCAAGGGGCCCTTCCAAGTAAACTTGTTCCCCCAAGAAGCCACTTCCATCAGATTGCACAAATTAATTCTTTCATCAAATAGATCACATTTCCTTATATTAACCGGCGCTCCACCCTTCTTCTCGCTTTCTCTTCTAATGTTATTAAAGTCCCCCATCAACAACCACAGGGCCCTATTAGTTGCTACAAATTCTTCCATGTCATGCCAGAAATCTCGCTTCCCATAATCTCGTGGGGCTACATAAACAACCGTGAGGATCCACCCTATTTCTCCATCAATTTTCAAGTGAACATACTAAGGATTATCTTTTATAACCGAAACCCCCACCCATTCTTCCTTCCACGCAATCCAAATCCCTCCAGAGAAGCCAACTCCTGGCACCACTACCCATTTATTATAACCTAATCTTCTGAAAAGGTCACCTGCTTTAGATTGATTTACTCTTGTTTCCAAAACTCCAACAATCGCTGGTTTCCATTCTTGAACCAGTGCTCGTAAGCTTCTTTCAAATCTTCTACTACCAGCCCCCTACAATTCCAAACCAGAATATTATAGTCGTAAATCATCATATAATATTAAAGTTGAGAACAGGAA